TTTTTTTTTTTGCTTTTGCCATAAGTGATCATAATTTGATATTCTTAAGGCTGTTTTCCAAATCATTCCTCTTAAAATAATCATAATATTCTCTCAATATCAAAATAATAAAATTTTTTATTTTATTTTTAAATTAAATTAAAATTTTAAGTATAATTTTTAATTTTACTCATATTATTTTTTTAAAATATATACTAATAAGATGAATAATTTAAAATATATATAATGATAAAGTTAAAATAAGAAAAAAATTTGTTTTTCTTAAAATATAAAAATATAAATTTTAAATATTTTTTATTTTGAGATAAAAGAGTACACTAAATGCCTTTTAATTTTATTTTGAAATTAAAATTTTAAATATAATTTTTATTTTTATCTATATTCTACTTTAACAAAATAAAAAAGAATTAGAGTTAAATCACGATAGAATAGATAATTAAATAAAAGAGATAATTATAGAATACATAATTAAAGTTATGAGATAATAATAAGTTTAAATTAAGAAAAACATTTGTCTCTCTAAAGATATTAAAAATGAGTATTGTTTTGGGATACATTTTAAAGAAAAAAATCTACTAATATTATTTTGGGACGTAAATTAATAATGATAATAATTATTATAATTACTCTTTTTGTTTAAAATAATATATTTTTTATTTTTATCTCAAGATTAAGTATTTGAGAAAATTTTTTATTTTTATTTATTTTATCTTTAAGAAAAGATATAAAAATAAAGATAGTTTTTTTATGATATAATGGATAATTAAAATTAAGATATAACCATAAAATTAAAATATTAAAAAGTATTTCTCTCACTAAAAATATGAAATAATAATTATTATTATTCAAAAACAAATTTTAAATAAAAAAATATTTATTATTTTAGAAGAGAGTAAATAGTAGATAAGTGATGGGTCATGACTGTTAGTACGTGGTGTTTTAGACTTGGTTTGGGAGTACTATCATGTAGTTGTAGGCTATTTAATCTATTAATATCATAAGAATATATTAACAACCGTTTCGACTCAGTGAGATACTGACATTGAACTTTAGGTTATAATTATTCACTTCATGTGGATTGTACATTCGAACCTCATAGAAACCTTTTCCCCTGTCACTTAATTAAGTTGTAAAAAATTACAATATGTTTAAAATTATATATCATAAAAATATATAAAATATATTTAATATTTATTTTAATTAATAATTTATATATTTTTAAATTAATTAAAAAATTAAAACCTAAAGCAATTGAGAAATATTTCCAAATAAAATCTATCTTCAAGTTATTACTAGGGCAATCTATATCTTAAATGTATTAAATTAATATAATAGATGTATTTTTAAAATTATATAAAAAAATAATTAGTCCCAACATTCATAAAAGTGACTTGATACACTCTAACAATCCAAACTAAAAAAAAAAAAATAATAGTGATTGTACAATAATAAAATAAAAGTCTTATTATACTCTTACCCTTTTTTTTTCCCTAATCTCTTTCGGAAACAGAGACATGTTCTCTGAATTCAAGTGCAGTTATTGCAAATCAATTAATTTTCTCTTATATTATACCCTTCTACAGTAGTGTTATATTCCTAAAAAGAGTTTCATAGGTTTAGTGGTTATATCATGCTATCCTGCCTACTTTTTTAAACATCTAAAAATTTATATATTTATTCTTATAATAATATAATTTAGTTTAGTACGGCAAAATTAAAAATTTTATTTGACGTAAAGGTGAAAGCAATTCGGAGCGTTCTCCTCAACCTCGTTTTTTTTTTATTTTTTTTTGGGCTTGTCCTTTCTTCCAAGTTTCATCTCCTTCTTAATTAATTACTAAAAAAATACGTTTAAAAAAAAACCCCACTTTCTTTAGAATAATCAAAATTTGTGGATGAGAGTAAATTGGCCATGTCGAGAAATATAGAGATAAGATCGAAGTGTGTCCGAAATCTTACATAGACTGCTACATCAGACTGCACCGTCCTAAATGTAGGCCACGTCATCAGACTGACTCACCCCCCGGCCCCCACCCCACCCCAAAACTGCAAGTAAAACTCTATGTTCTTATTTATTATTTATTTTATTTTTGATAGCAATCCCTTGTATAGGATACCAGATATCAATCTCTTATATGGTAAATTTTTTTGTTTTTGAACATATATAGGGGGATAAGGTGATTTTTTAATTTGTTGGTGAAAATTAAATTTTTAATCAATTAAATTTAAATAATAAGATTTAAAGATAAATTATTAAACTAAAAAATTTGGTTCTTTGTATAGTAAGTTAACAAGTTAAAAAAAGAACAATATGGTTTAGATTGTATAAATAAATTATTAATTGAGAATCAATCATTTAACTTTTTATTTATTAATATGGTATTTTAAAATTAACTTTTATATATTTTAAAATTGATTTTTTTTAAAAAAAAAATTTTAAGATACATTTTATATTGATATGTTATATTTAAAAAAGTTAATTTTTTTTAAGTGTTAAATTCAAAGACTTGAATTTAAAATTATTTATATAATAGGTTAGATTTTTATTTAAAATTTATACTTAAAAAATTAAAAAAAATAAATAGATAGAATTTAGTTTAAATTCTCATTTGAGAATATCAAGTGTCTTGTAATCATTATAAATAAATAAATAAATAAAACGAGATGCTATTTGATCAGAAAAATAAAGTAGTAGTTAAATACCAACCAATGGTACCTTAATTAAGTACGTCTTAGTAATGAAGCTCAAAGCACTAAAATATCTTGTTTTCACACTTTTAATCTGAATATGTAATTTTTAATAGGCACCTCATGGTTTACAAAGATCTCAACTCTAAATTTTGATTAAGAGCATCAACAAAAGTTCGTAGACGTTACAAATTAAATAATAGAATCAAACTTCCATTAAAAAAAAAATGTGGACTCAAACTATATATGTAATATGATACTTTACAAAAGTTAAGAAAATTAAAATAAACAAATAAACAAATAATTTCAACTAATTGTGGTAATTAATATTGTTGCGATCCATAAATTAGTTAATAAAATCTTAATTTAATAGTCATACGTACTAACCGTATCATGATTGTGATATATTATAGATTTCAAATTTCAGGAGTATGTTTGGTGGATTATAGATTTTTGCAAATGTGATGTTTGAATGGAGATATATAGAAGTTTAAATTATAAATTTATATAAAATAATTATAAAATTTTTAAAATTTAATAAAATTACCAAATTTAAAAAGTTGAAAATTTTTTAGTTTTATAAAAATATTGCTTATTAGTTTAGACTCCAAAAATATTTTAACTTTAAAGATATTATTTTTTATGAATATTTTCAAAAATTAATCATTTAATTTATGTTTTATTTAAAAACGCTTCTTGGTACTTTAACTTTTTATTTGTATATCTTTTTATTATTTTAAAAATGAAGAAATATTAATTAAAATAAAAAAATTACATATCAGTTTTAACTCTAAAAATAAATTAAAGTTGTAATTAAATTACGTTATTTTATTTAATTAAAACCCAACTCAAAACTTAAAAATTTATCTTATTAAATTTTAATATTTAAATTTAAAAACTAATTATATTAAAATATATAATTGGTTTTCAAATTTAGATATCAACATTTGATAGAGTAGATTTATAAATTTTAAATTAAAATTTTAGTTTCCAAATATAAGTTAAGATTCCAATAGGCACTAATATCTTAAAATAAATAATATATTTAATATATTTTTAAGATATTAAAAGACAACAAAACAAACCACTCTTGTTACAGGTCAACACTCTCAAATTAAGCCATAATATTTTATTAATATACATTATGTATATTAATTTTAAGTTGATTTATCTATAATTATTTTATTCAAAAACTTTTATTTTTTAATATATATTTAACTGTAATAAATTTTTTATAAGATTAATGTGTATCAATCTTGACTTCCGAAATAATTAGAGTTTTAATATATATTTAAAAACTAAAATCTTAACTCAAAATTTATAGATCTAAATATCAATAAAATAAATTTTTAAATTTTAAATTGAGTTTTAATTAAATAGAATGACATAATTTAAAGTTAAAATTCTAATTTTTTATTGGAGTTGAAACTGATATTTTTTTTCTTTTTTTTTTATAATTAATAAACTAATTATATATATTTAACTAATCTAACAATTGACATAAATAACCTATATAATTAAAAAAACAAAATCTAACAATTAATTTTGAAAATATTTATTAAAAAATAATATTTTTAAAATTAAATTAAAATTTTAAAAAATAAATAAATACTCATACGCATTATTCTCTGGTTTTCTTAGCCAGTAAAACACATTATTCTCTGGTTTTCTTAGCCAGTAAAGCATACTTCATTTAGTTATGCTTTTTTATGGTAACTAATTCAGTTTTTTTTTTTTACCAAAAAAAAATTCAGTTTATATATATGATAATAATATTAAGAAAAAAAGTGCATATCAATTTTAACTCTTAAAATAAATTTTAATTTTAATTTTAAATTACATAATTTTATTTTTTAAAATTTAATTTAAAAATTAAAAATTTTTCTTAATTATGAATATTTAGATTTAAAATTTGATTATACTAAAATATACAATCAATTTTTAAATTTAAATATTAATATTTAATAAAGTAAAAATTTAAATTTTGAATTAAGATTTTAATTTTTAAGTATAAATTAAAATTTTAATTTATTTTAGAATCAAAATTAATACTTACTAATCTTTAGAATTGAGATTAAATTTTGTTCTTATGAGTATACTATTTTTGTTCCCATTAAGTAAAAAATTATGTAATGGTCAATGGTAACAGAGATACCATCATCCATATTTAACCAAATAAAAAAACATATCATATGTGGGAGCTGAGTACAAATAATGTATTAAAAAAATAAGAAAATAATGTTGCCACGTCATCGAGTGCATGAACCAAAATTCCGACGCCCCCTATAAATACGCGTCCCACTACTCCTTCCCCTGCCATCACACCCGACGCCTACGGAAGAGCAGAGGGTAAGAGATAGCAGAAGCTGCGAAAATGCCTTCCTCGCCGGAATCTTTCACCCTACCATCCAAAACTGTCATCGTCCCTGACCAGAAATCCACCATGGAAGACCTTAAGTTCTCCGTCTCCGACCTCCCCATGCTTTCCTGCCACTACATCCAAAAGGGTTGTCTCTTTACTCGCCCTTCTCTCCCAATTGACTCATTAATTCCCCTGCTCAAACGGGGCCTTTCCAGAACTCTTTCTTTCTTCCCTCCCCTCGCCGGCCGTCTCTGCACTGATGCCGACGGTTACATTTACATAACCTGCAACGACGCTGGAGTGGAATTTTACCATGCTAAGTACACCCAGTGGTTTATCCGAGACGTAATTAGCCCAATTCATACGCCGGAATTCGTTAAGGAATTTTTCCCCTTCGATAAGACAGTCAGTTATGAAGGACATTTTAAGCCCATTATGGCCGTTCAGGTCACGGAACTAGCCGACGGTGTCTTCATCGGATGCGCGGTGAACCACGCCGTCATTGATGGGACATCGCTCTGGAATTTCTTCAACAGTTTCGCTGAAGTTTGTAGAAAAATGGGTGCTGGCAATGACATCGAGAGAATCGCCAGGCAACCGAATTTTTCGAGGGATTCAGTTCTGGTATCCCCGGCTGTTCTCAGGCTACCGGAAGGCGGACCCAAGGTCACATTTGACGAGAACGCGCCGTTGAGCGAGAGAATCTTTAGTTTCAGCAGAGAAGCAATTCAGGAGCTGAAAGCCACAGTCAACGGCAAGAAATGGCTAGATAACAACGACGTTTTTGACGCCGTTGAAATTATGGGGAAGCAGAGTAACGACAAGTACAGCGACGGTAGCGGCAAAAGGATAGCGGGCATTCTCGAGAACTGGTTGTTTAAGACCACCGCCATTCCAAAGACCGAATCGGAGTCTAAGGCGGTGGAGATTTCGTCGTTTCAGTCGCTGTGCGCCCTCCTATGGCGGGCGGTGACACGTGCCAGGAAACTACCCGCATCGAAAACGACAACGTTTAGGATGGCAGTAAATGTACGCCCCAGGTTGAACCCGAAGCTGGATCCACTGTACTTTGGAAACGCGATTCAAAGCATTCCTGTTTACGCGTCAGCAGGTGACGTCACGTCACGTGACCTTCGGTGGTGCGCGGAGCAGCTGAACGAGGCCGTGAAGGCGTACGACGACGGTGCAGTTCGCCGCGTCATAGCCGACTGGGAGAAGAACCCACGGTGTTTCCCGCTGGGGAACTTCGACGGTGCAATTCTCACGATGGGCAGCTCCCCGAGATTCCCGATGTACGACAACGATTTCGGATGGGGGAGGCCCCTGGCGGTGAGGAGCGGAGGGGCGAATAAATTTGACGGCAAGATCTCGGCGTTTCCTGGGAGGGAAGGAAACGGGAGCGTTGATCTGGAGGTGCTTTTGACGCCGGAAACGATGGCTGGAATCGAGTCGGATTCCGAGTTCATGCGCTATGTCACAAGTTAAGAGTCCAACTATGCGTGTCGTCAAGACGGTTAATGCGTAATGGTTTTTGTTGGCCGTATGATAAATGTCGGGATTGTGGGGTCGGACGGGTAACGGTAATGATGAGACCTGGGATAAGGGCTTGGGTGGGTAGGGTTGTTCTGTATTTTATTTTATGGATTAAGCTCGTTTATTTTGCCGTTGAATTTAATACAGTCACTAAGGAAAAAAAAAAAATTCAAGACGAAACAATTGGAATTGGAAAAAACTAGAACGTAATTATAATTAAAATGTGAGGATTAAAAAATAACAAGATTTAAATATCTTTAATGAATTAAAATGTTAAAGAAATTTATTAAAGATATTTAAATACTTTTATATTGTAAATAATTATAACATTATTTTAGTTATAATCTTATATAAAATTATAAATTTATAATCATGATATAATATTAAATTAA